TTCTTTTTTCAACTTAACAAAAACTTAAGCAATGCATTTGCGACTTTTTTGATGTAAATTTCAATCGGAATTTGACGGGCAACGGCTGTTTCACCTTGAAGTGCAATTTAAAATTCTCAATTTTAAGCCTGAAATGAAATATATTGAGATCGGATTCACTAGGGAAATCAATGAAAGATATTATAAGAATGATTATAATTCCAGTCATATTCGTCGATTACATTTCACTGTGTAATCATCAAAATCATTGTAATCATTAAAATAAAGATGAGAATAAGGATTATTGCAAAGTTTTGCAAATGCGCACACATTGATGAAATTGCTAAAAAGCAAATAGTATAAAATAAATATCGGACAAAATTTTAAAACACATCAGCTTTATGGATTTGTTGAGTGATTGGCATCTTCAACAAAAGTGTGTAATGAATGTACTTGTAGCCTTCTCAATGCCAGCAAATATCAAATGCCTCTTGGGTACCACCGGTTTTATTTTTTTCCGAATTTTTGCCACTACTTCCATTTTTTTATTAGTAGCATACCAAAATATGCTCTTCTAATTCTTTACAAAAGTTATTGATTTTCGGAAATGCGTGTTTAAGTTTGTTGTAGTTTAAAATGTATAGGTTTCAAATTTTGAATTCAGCACACTTATTAAATAAAATAAACGCTTGGTTCTGATTAGCTATTCCTTGGCTTATCGTTGGAAAAAACATTTGAAAATATGTTTTATAAATAAAATATAAAAAGAAAACCAAAATTGTGTGGAAATGAGATAAGCAAAATCAACTTAAGAAGCAATTGATTGCTGATAATATCTTTATATTTGCATGCCAAACGGCACATGATTGTTAATTAAAGTTACTCCATAATACCTCTGTTCTATTTTTATCTTTCAGAGGTCTCATTGAGTCAGTTGGTGTCATGCTTTGTCAATTTCTTCAATTTTATCTTTTTTTCTACCTAAGCTTTTGTCTTTGATGTAATATTTATTATCTCTATTTATTGATTGCTTAACATTATCTAATGCTTTCCTGCTAAATTAGTATAAAAATGAAGTACAAAAGTTGCAAAACTAAAATTAATATGAAACTTTTTTAAATAAATTATTTGTGTGATTATCACATTGTAGCAATAAATTTATTTTGTATAATATTTCAAAAAAAATCATTGTTTGTACTATTTGTCTGTTCAAAAGAGGAAGCATCACGAAATAATCATAAGAGGCTTGTGTTTGAAGTGACAACACTGCTAGTTTAACTTCCTTGACCTGATGATGATTAAGCATTAATCGAAGATTTTTATCTTTATCTTGTTCAGCTTTTTTTCCTTTATTTTATTTTATTTTATTCTATCATTCGTTAATTTGTTTATTTTATCGTTCTGTTTCCTCATGAATCAAACGTTGCATGAATCAATAGTATTTAGTGAAATTTTGTTTTTCAGCATCTTTTTGATTCTATGACTTGTTTTTGAAAATTCATAGCGAGAAATATTTCAGTTGCAACGTTTTCTTTTTTTGATGAGATAGTTTTTACTAATAATTTGTTTTTCTATTGAAACTTAACAGTGATAAGGTAAAAACTAATGTTTATTATCCGCATTGCATATTTTTTATTATTTGTTTTTTTATCGATCGTTTTTTCTAATTCATATTTCTCCTCTACTTTCTAGTTAGCAGTAAACTTTTCTAGTGAGTATTATAATAATTCAAAAATTAGTTTTTTGATTAGTGCACAGAAATTGCTTAATTACTTTTTTTTTTAATAATTTAAAGCTTTTATTCTTCATGGATAACACTTTCAATCAATATTTTATGATATATGTCAAATGCTTTCCTAAAAAAAAGAATTTTAGAGAATTCACTAAATGAGTTGACATTAAAGTTATTGGGGTTCCAAGAATGATCAGCGAAAAATACACTTTACAAAATATAACAGTTGATAATAGTCCGGCTTTCATGAATTTTTCATCTTGTAACTATGAAAATACGGTAGTGTGATTTGCAATGGAATTAAATTTCTCACTCATTCAACAAATGAAATTTGCTATAACATAAATAGGTTCTATTCTCGATACAAGAATCCAATTTTATATAACGAATTTTTCGTTTATTTATTTATTTTTTTATTTTTTTTTTTTTGCATTTCTGGGATCTTAGAGATAGCATCCACTTAATTTCTGTGTCTTAGCACAGTTTAAAAATATTACTGCAACCTTCGCTCTATTTTTCATATTAAAGTTTCAAATCCCAATTAACGAATAATTGTGAGAGTATAGGGTGATATTTCATAATCATCCATTTTTTTTTTACCACTTTATTAAATTCTCTGCTTTTGAAAAGTTAATACTGTTTATTAGTTAATACTTAATTCACCCAAAAATAGCGTATATTATTTTCTAATTCGTTTCAAAAAAAATTATTCTTGAAATATTTTGAAATCAAATTTGCTATAAATCTATAACATAAGATCGAAACCGTTCAGGGGATGATTTCCTTTTAACACATTAAAATATTTATAAAATTTTAGTGCCGAATGAAAAGCACCTCAACTCAACAATCACAGCTTTCAAAATTTCGTTAACTCTCATAACTAAAAATATGATTTTCATGCAAGCAAGTTGGAGTTTAAAAATCGTTTTTCAGTACAACTGAATTCCTATAATTAAACAAATTTGTTCATTCGTCTGGTTTTTCACACAATTTTTGCATTAATTTATAAAATCTTTTTAAGATTAAGGGACGAAAAATCGTTGAATAATTTTGCAAAAATGTAACAAGCTTAAAACTATCAACCGTTAATGAAACTAATCAAAAAACTAATCATTTGGTAAAGTTGTAAGCTTTTTTTTGGAAGTTTATATGCTGATTCTCCTAATGTGGCCATGTGCAAGGAAAAAAAATAAAAGAAAAAAAGTGAAGTGCTTCTAAATGTGCAACGCGACATATCAAAATACTGGTCATCCTATTTGTATTAATACCTCTTAATATTTTTATATTCTCAATGTTTATTAATTTACTTCTCGACTAGGCTAATAATCGTGATCTATATCGCTGGAATAGTGCTTTAGATAATATTACTAAGTGGTGAGGGATAATATTACTTTTGATAACATTACTAAAAAATTTTGATAATAATATTACTAAATATTATTAGAGTACTAATGTTGGTTATGTTTTTTTCTCACGAAGTTTGCATTTTAATAGCTGGTAAAACATTATTAAACGCTTTACTTGATATATGGATTTTACAAATTGAACAGAAATTTTTTTCATGACAAATAGAATACAGTTGCTAGAAGACATATTTTCAGGTATCCGATATGTTCAGTATAACGTCCGGATTTATGCATTTTAAGGAATAAAGAAATAATAATGGTTTAGTTTAATAGTTTAAATCATTGAAAGATAACAATTATTTCCAACTGTGATGTATGCATCACTTTTATCTTTGTATGTATTTTAGTTGTATTATTTTAATTTACTCACTTTATATTTGAATCTTGTTAATTCGTTCATGAAAGCACTCGTAAAGCTTTTTTTTCCTTTAATTTATGAAATTTAATCAATTATAAACACCATTCCTTGTATCCTAGTATGAAGCGGTAAATGGAGACTGATTTGCTGCATCAGTAATTTTGTTCCGATTAATCAAAATGAAACATTCACAGGAATATTTCATGTGATTTTTAGCTTTTGAATAACTTTATTGTCTAATTTTAAAAACAGTATAGATAGCCATTTTTTGGAAAGGCGCTCAGTGGATCATCATGCCGCGAAGAGGTTCGAACAGTGTATTACTCCTTCACAAATTAGCTTGGTTTGTAAATTTACTACCAATAACTGTCGTGTATGGTTTCCAGTACTATTTTCGTATCTTTTTGAGATAGTAGAAAGCGAACATGACAAATAGTTCAAGAATCTTCAGAATGCTAGTTAACTATTCCATGCATCTAGCTGCTTTCATATATCCTCTGAATAATGCTGTGAATACGCCGAGGTGAGGACTTCTCTCAATGTTCGTCTAATCATTTCCAACACTGCTGGCATTTGTTGAGTACCGCTACCGATCTCAAGAAATTATATTAAGACGGACTAACAACTAACAACCCTTAAATGTCATTTACCATTTATTAAATCGTCTTCTGCAGAAAACGATATTTTACCACTTCATTTGCTCATTGTCTGCACCTTCCCTCTTCGTTTAGGCGAAGTGTTTTTGCGCAATTGTTTGAATGGCAAAGGTCAAACGACAGTGTGAAAGTTTGGCGTTAATGATACGCTCTAAGTGACCGTAACCGTGATCCACAACTTCAGAAATAAGTAGCAGTTGCAGTTATCTGAGATCACTGACTGCAACAAAAAGACTACTTCTCGAATTCAAGGTGTGATAGACAGACGAAAAGAGGTTTAGAGACCACTGGTATTGCAGAGTGTGTAGTTCAGAGCTTGAGCGGGCGCAAAAATAACACTGTGATACGAAACGATGCGGTTATCGGTAAAAAATTTGCATTCACCGGGAATGATTTGCATAGCTGCTTCTGCAGAATCGAGGCTTGGATTTTACATGAATAACTCAGTGTAAGTCTCAGTAAGATGGTTGGTTTTATGCACCGGAGTTAAACTTATTTGTATGGTTTAAAGATTTCCAAAATTTCAGTCTAAAGTGCTAAATTTTTTATTCGCGAAAAGACATGAGATTTATCCAAGATACTTCCATCACCCTTTCATCCAAATATCTATCAAGATAGCGATATTATTTCTGTTTTTTCCAGACTGTTTTGTCCATCATATAGTTGCACCATACTGATAGATTCAGCGGTTTTGTTGATTCCAGTGACTTCATCAAGAAGTTAATTTTATGATGTATTTATACGTGGCTGGAAGATTTTGTTCATCCAGTTTATCTATAATTCTACGTATCCTTCCAGGTCATATTTGGATTGCGGTGCAGTAGTCTTTCGATCCATCTTTTCGTTCATTAGAGTCAATTTTTTTCACAATGTTGGACAGAGAGGAGGAAGTTGAGACGAAGGACAGGATTGTAGAAGCAGCTCTGTCAGATTCGTTCCCTGCTCATTCGGAGGTTTGTTATTGTGTTCTTACAAATGAAGAGTTCCCGGTTATTCCATACAACACATTTCTGTTAAATGGTTTCTTTCTTTGATTGCGGACTAACTCTAAGAAAAGGCGAATAATATTAGCCTTTCTAGCATTATGAAGAAAAATCATTCATTACATGGCAGTCTTTCCACAGCCATTACCTCCGTTTTGATAAGAACAGTTCATTTTTGATCTCTTATTCTATCATATCTTTAAAGCATGATATCTACTACATCTTCAGTGCATGATATTAAATGCTGTTACATCAATTAATTTCTTGTATTTCATTAGCTTTGTTCCTTTTCTTTATTATGACAAAATGAAAAATACACACTTTATTTTGCTAAAATAAATCTTTTTTCTTGTTCCGCCTGTGTAATACCAAATTTGTACTCAAATATTATTTATCATTCAAATTGTAGCGAAATAGCTTGTGAATCACCTAGCCTACGAGCATATTTTTCATTGGTGTCATTTACTGATTATTGACTTATCTTTTTTTGCAGGATTATCAGTTGTATAACAATCATGTTCATGTAGTACGATTAGAAAAGAAGGCGACTCATTTTCCTTCATGCGATAAATGTACTATTTTTCTTTGTACTTATTATGGAATCAAAAAAGATCGTTTTCTTTTTGAATGTCCAGTTTTATGAATATATAATAATTTTGGTGTAAATGATGGGATGGTTCCTTATCATCGACAGTTTGCTGCTATTGCTGATGCCATGTTTCTTAATTTTCGTACGTCATTTTTGCAAATACAACTGTTAATTTTGTGAGAGCACATCCGAATATTCATGTGAGTACGATTAACAGGTACATTAAAAACACCTGTTAGAACATTTGACTAAATTTTGATCATGTTTCTTTTTCAGTTGGTACAGAATCGACATTTTCATCATCAGTGGAGGAACCAATTCCACCAGACGGTGGATATGGATGGATCATTGTTCTTGCATCTTTCCTTATTCATTTTATTTGTGACGGTAAGTATTTCACTTCCCAGTATCATTCTTACGAATGTGTTTGTTATTCGATGATTTATTTCTATATATATATATATATATATTTATATTTATATTTCCATAGTAGAACTAATCTTTTTCTAGAAGCTTTTCTTTTCAAAAAATTAATTCAAACATCCAGTTAGTTTCGATTTTTATTACAATTTACATATTAATATTATACACTCAAATTTATATAATTTTCACGAAATTTAGATTACATTAAATGTTTTATTGTTGTAAGTTGGTGATAGGGAGATCAGTGCATAAATTTTATTGAAAGTGATCCTGAAACAACTAAGATCATTTTCTAACGTGGCCTTTAACCTTTGCAGGTATTTCATTTTCATTTGGCATCATGTTTTCTGAAATTCAAGGACATTTCAATGTAACAAAAACAATGTCTGGTATTGTTGGATCAATTTTTTTATCAATACCGTTGTTATCAGGGCCGCTTGCTGGAGCTTTAACAGATATATATGATTGTCGGTCTGTCTTTGTTGTACATTTGTAATATTTTGAATCTGAAGTGCGTCATATATTTGTTTTGCGGATTAGCCATTTTGTATTGTTTTGAGGATATCTTCGTGTGCTTTCGAAGTGAGTATTCTTGCAGACGTATGACAATTATTGGTGGATTGATAGCAGCCGGTGGTGGATTAATATCCTTTTTCGCATTTAGTATTTGGCATTTTTTGCTTTCATTTGCATTCATTACGGGCATTGGTTTAAGCTTTTGCTTTAATAGCGCTATTGTTGCAGTTACTTACTATTTTCAAGTACAGTTGTTTTTTTCTTGGGTGATTTCATTTTGGTTCCGCTTCTGGCAATAAATGAATGTTAATATATTTTTATTAACAATATTTATCTAATTCTTTATTTCTTTTAAAGAAAAAACGAGCCATTGCAACGGGTATTGCTGTTTGCGGTTCTGGCGCGGGTACTTTTGTTCTTGCACCATTCATCGAAATGGTCAGTTTAACTTCGTTTGAAGATTAATTAATTTTCATCTGCAATTTCTAATATTCGGTTTAAATATTAGCCAATTGTTGTTCTATCTTTCTGAGATAATACATAACTTTCAAGTTATTCTTAATTCTCTGTTTAGCTATTTGCAAAATTCGGCTGGCGTTCTTCTCTTCTTTGTATGGGATTTCTTTTACTCTTTATTGTTGGTTGTGGTTTTATGATTAAGGTGAGTTTTTTTTTTTATACCACTAACAGTGTATCGAATATTATTATGAAAAATTATTTGAGTTGTTACCCACCAAAGTTGTGGGGACATTCTGCATCAGGTATAGCTTGAATCTGATATTTCGAATCTATGGATTGTTTTCTCAGGGTAGACGGAGTGTGCTTTAAGTGTTTTGAGCAAGCCACAGAACTAGGTTAAGAAGATGCTGGCTAAAGTTGAAATAATTCTGGCAGTCTAATTTAATTCAGAATTTTATTTCAGGATCTGGAGTGGCCGCATGATACTATAGAATACAAGAGAAAAAAATTCATCGGAAAAACTGAACGTGAAAAGTTACGGTTAGCTATGAGGAATGCTACTAATAATTCCAGTGTCTTCACTGTTAGTTTCAGTTATCAGGTCAGCCTGATATTAATACAAATCTTCACATCAAACTTCCAGTGACTCTTAGTCATCGTCTAAGTGAATTCCAGAGGCTCTTGATCATAACTTCCTTATATTTAAAGGCTACTGGCTTTAAACTGAACCTTTGCGCAGTAAAAATGCGGCAGCAATGAAAAGAACTACGGTGCTCAAAGGCTACACTTGGTGTATTAGGGAATTTTTGCTCTGACTTTATGTTTTCTTTCAGATTCTTTGGCTTGTTTTGGAATTTGTGAAGGTTTTTTTTTATTAGGGAAGTATTTTAGCAAAGGAATTACAGTTCTATGGACAAAAATTCACTTCTCCCTGTGAGTTTCTTAAGATCGAATCACGAAGCCTTAAACTACCTTTTTTAGATGGGTTTTCCTTATACTGGTCCGACTTCCCGCCGTACCATATCGCTACCTTCAATACCGACATATGCAACACCCCTTCTGCAACTGATCGATCATTCCTTAAATATACAATCGGTAAATGCATTTATGATGTGAGGCAAACGTTATGGGTGCAGGAAAAAGCAAACCTAAAGTTATGACTTTGAATAACATTGTCGCCTAATTTATCAGGAAAAAAAAGAAATGGACTCAGATTTATCTGGAAAAATGAGTACGTCTTCTGAAAGTGTTAACAAACAATCTATTTTTTGTAGTTAGTATTTAGAAACTTATATTTTTATCTACAGGTAAAGGCAGCTGCAAATGAACTGCAAATACCAGTGTCAAAAAGTTACAGTATGGGTGAATTTTTGCTTGCAGAAAATGACATAAGAAGAGGACATGCACTTACTTTTGATGTAAGCCATACTAGACAACATGGTTTGGTAATTTTTCATCTTTTGCATCTTCCAATTCCGAAAGTATGATCCAACAGTTTACCGAAATTTCTCATTCAACGAATCAATCAGTAATGCACTATTTCGGCAATTATCACGGTTTTTATCCGGCTTTTTTAAAGTTTAGGGGGTGTATAACGTTGGAATTGATACATTATCGGGATCACCTTATCAGGTTTGCTCGAAGGAAAATTATCACTCAGGAATTGTTGATTTAATATCCAACCAAATGTCTAAAGTAGAAAACAAATCAAGGAGGACGCTTCGGTATTCTATTTCTACTTTGTTATTTGTGTCTTCTGTGTGTTAAAAATATTTAGAAATATGGTTTATATGTTCTTTACATTTCCGAATACTTTGCTTCCGTTATATTCCAAAATTCGATAGTTTGAGAAAGATTTTTTCCCGCATTTGACGGTTTTACTTCCTGAACAAATTCTTAGCACTCACATTTTAATGTATCCCGTCATAATTGTTTTTTCAGTGGTGGTGACGGTATGGATGAAGTGGTTAGTAGTCGACAGAGCGAAGTCATTTATGTAAAATTCGTAAAGGTAATTTAAAGTCAGAGATGATTAGTCAAATTATTCCAATTGCTATATATTCCAGTTGCTTAATGGATATTCCTGGAAACGAGCAGTTCCCTTCTTGCTGACTAGTTAGTAAATGATTAAATTTTCCAAAATCTTTTCTTCCGTAGTTAAGCCTTACTTTTATTCTGGAACCGTGGAAACTTGTAATTTTTTAATACATCAGGAATTCATGGAAAGCTATAATTTGGTACAAGAAGATGCAATAAAGGAACCGTTATTAGACGACGACACTAAGGAAGGAAAATCCGAAACACAGACAGTTGAAACCTGTATGTGTGTTTAACTTATTAAACGATATGGGACTTAGTTTAAGATATGAATGAGGATGAAGTATTGTGGTAGTTCAATTTGAAACATTAAATTCTACTTTACAAAGGATTTAATTTTTCAAGTATTTATAGCTAACATTCCTAATATCTTGAGGAAGATTTGGTTCAGGTACCTTAATTCATTTCAAATTTGTTGAATATAAGTGCATTAGAGAAAGAAAGTAATAGCTTTGGAATCCGAGGATTAACTAGTGAGATAAGTTCGTGCTTTTTGCAGCGGAAACTATTGTTCCTTCTTTTACAAGCCGCAATGTTCGCAGTTCATGCATCGCGACTCAGCTGGGTGCAGCACAAGGTCGAGTACCCGCAGCCAATGTGTTAAGTTTCCGATGGAAATTTGTGCCATTTGGTGTTGGTATGTCCCGACGGATACCCTCTGCTCCTGCTATTTGTTATCGCAGAAAGCGGAAGCGAAGAACAATTCGGTTGAGTAAAGTAAGGTCTTTTTTTAATATTGCAAAATGCAAAATGCAGTCTTTAGCGAAATTTAAACATTATTTCGAAGTACAAGCTGCAAGATTTGCTATTTTATTTAAGAACAATATAATGCCATTCGCTTTATGAACTGCAAAAATTTTTTAAAGTTTGGGAATATATTCAGATGTGGGAATCGTTTCTGGAATGGATTTCTAATACAAAACTTGTTTTGGTAGTTCCTGAGTTTTCTATTTTCCTGTTAAGTACATTTATTCTCTATGTATTCTTTGATATACCATATGTCAATTTCCCGGAATATGCTGTAGAAATTCATAATGTTACTGAGACTAAAGCGTCGTATCTGGTATCTAGCATTGGTCTTACAAATATGGTGAGCATGTTGTTTTGTGGAGTCATCGCTGACTGGAGTCGAACAAGTCAAGTAAGATCATTTGTTTTTGAACCTTTAATGTTTATATCTCGTTCTAGATTATGGTTTGATTTTTAACACTTTGCTATCTAGGGTTTTATTGTTGTTGTCACTACCTTAAGCTTTTTTTCAGTATATCATTCAAATGTATGGCATATTTATAACTTTAGCGGGTTTATGTGTAGCTCTTACACCGTTTGCTACTTCCTACATTCACTTATTGACACTTTGTATTGGTTTTGGTTTTTTCATTAGCGCGAACTACACCTTAGCATCCGTGATTACTCTTCATATCCTTTGCTTGTATGATTTTCAAACCGGTTATGGAATTCTCTGTCTGGTGGAAGGCCTTGGAAATCTTATCGGTCCAGCACTAATCGGTAAGGTTGAATTGTAACTTTATCTTTCCTGGTGAAGCAAATAAAAATATTCGTAGTTCTATCGTCACTTTTAATAATATAATTATCCTTTCTGTGGGAAGGGGAAATATACCGTACACTTCTATTTATGTGCAGGAAGAGATCTCTAATACAATGCTTTTCAGGTTTCATTCGTGATAATTTAACTGGTTATGACAACATTTTCTTGCTAGCTGGAGCAGGCATAATGATTTCTGGTCTTATGGTTGTAGGTATAGATATATTTATGCTTACATGTGATGCTGATCATGAAAAGAAACATCTGATGAAACGTGATAGGTGATTATTTATTATTCAAAAAGAGAGTTATCTTGCAAAATAAGATAATTTCTTGAGCGATTTAGTTTTCTTAAGCAACTATCTGCCAAAAAAAAAGAAATGCAGAAAAAAAGTGAATAATTGATTACTGGTGAACATTTGTCTTCCTTAGCTAATGTTGCTATGTTTAAGATACTACTAGGCCTCATTTTACTTCATTGTTTTACTTTACAATCTACTTCAGTGCATATTTTTCATCATTTTTTGCACCACAATGGTGGCTAAAACTTTGTATAAATTATCAATAAAAGAATGGAAAAACTTTAATGGATTCTTTGTCGGCATTTATCTGTTATTTTAGTTTATCAAATCTAAAAATAGCAAGGGTTTTTTAAAGTGCTGTAAGACTCATGCATTGTTATATTTAACACTATTAGTTACAGATATATTGGCACCGGACAGACTGCATTAAGACGGTGAAGAACAGTGCAGTCTGTGATATGATACCCTCTATTTTTTCATCAAAATAGCAGAAAAAAAGCAGATTTGGTGAATGTTGTTGATTACTGCAATAGTTTTCTTCTAGAACCATACTTTCACTTTTTATCTCCTGAGAAACAAGCTTTAGTTCATTTTCACTTTTTCGACCTACTATTAGTTTGATTAGAAGTAAATAGGAAAAAAATTTTGAGGGGATCTGTTTTGTTATTTAGGCATGCTTTATGACTTCATCAGATAGGTAAAAAGGGTTGATTGATTTTGAATTTTCATTTCCATATTTATGGGTGTATCTTATGATGATGGTTTTGAATATTCCTAATAAGTGGTTGAGCAGTTTCATTTTCAGCAGGAAAGGGTCTCTTTTTCTTCATTTTTCACTTTGCTACATGCAAAAATTTCTTCTCTTTGTGTGTATTGCATAATTCAGCTCATTATAGACAGCAGTAGCTGTAACACGACATGAATTCTAATCTATATCAGAACACCTTGTCTGTTTTTTTTTTTTTTTTTTGTAAATTCTCATTTGATAAGGCTCATTTTAATTTTTAGAAAATTTCAACTGTTTTTCTTTCGTTGCATGAGATTCGACCTTCCGCATGAAATTTATTGTCGTCTTTTCCATTCTCGGGGTTTTCTGAAGCTTCTAAACTGAGCAGATTTTTCGTTTGTAAAATCATAACTTCCATTCACTCGTTGTTTTGAACTTTTTTTTTTCTCTCACAGTGCAGAAAACATACTGCTAATGATATCTGTTTTATAAAAACAGAGTTTCTACCTCGTATTTGGACTATGCAACGATAGTAAACATCTTTTTTAAGTTCTTTATGCACTTTTTCGTCGAATATTTTCAGTGTATACAAATTTAGACAGGAGAATTATATCTATCATACTTCTGTGCCCACAGTTTTACATCTTCTCTGCATGACGTACGTGAACTTATAAAATTTCTGAATACGTCTCCATCGTTTTTATCACACTTTGAAATCGAATCTGCTTATGTACATGTATTTCATTTGCATGATTTCAAAAATGATGATGTTAATGCATATAGGCTGTATTCCTGCATGGCCGAAAAATAACTAGAAATAAATAAATTTGAAATATTTCTCTTTTTTTTAATAGTATTAAGTCATACCATCCTTTGCATTTCGTTTTTTCTTTTTTTTTTTCGAAAGCGTTCCTCATTACGCTTTGCACTTTATGATTTCTAACTCTGTCCTTCATTTTCCACAGTTATCCATTGGTGCATGCGCACATATCCGAATTTAGGTTATAAGCCGCTCCAAGATATCATTTTCTCTTCCTTTATTTTTGCTTTTGCAAATTGCATCCTCTAAATAATGCATTCTCTATGCAAAAGAAATCCATTTTCTCTTATTGATTAGTTGCAGTTTGATTACTGGCAAAAAAAATTGGTAGTCGGTAGTTGGGTTTAAACAGTAACTGTTTCAAGTCACTTAAGTAAAATAAATTTCAAATTAATTTTATTTAGGTTACTTAATTTGTTGCTTGTGATCATCAGTATATTACGCTTTAAATCTTTCGTAGTTATCGTTTATGATCTGTTATGAGAAACTTTTGAGTGCTATTTTATTCGGAAAATTCTAGCTGGAAAAAAAACATAGTAATGACTGGATCATATCGGGAGTGATGATCGTTGTTGAAAGGCGTGCCAGTGATAACGTATTATCTTCTGCAGCAGTGATAATTTGCAGTAGTTGGTTCAATTTCTCATGCGCTTTTGTTACTTCCTGCAACCTCTCCCATCAAGACCTTGTGGACAGCTAAAACTTTTTGCGAGGACCTGCAAGTATGTGATTTTCATACTCAGCGCGCGCTAAGTCTTTTTTTTGCGGAGGTTTTTTTGCTAAATAATTTGTATCTATGTATTGTATATATGACTGTAATTAAAATGTGGAACTACATATTTGAATTCTAACATAAAGAAATTATAAGAGTAGGCCAAACATTTAATGAGATTGTATAACTCTTGCAGAAATTTAATTTCAAGTATTTTTGAACTCGAGTTTATAAAAGATAGGGTTTACTTCATTTACATATGAAACGTCTGATTTTTCTGTGCAGCTTTGAAGTAAGGCAATGGCTTGTTCGCGGAGTTGGTGCAGTCTGCAAATCAGTTTATGAACCTGGAAGGAGAGTAGAAATGTTGTTGATGTTTGTATAAGCTATATGTTTAAAGGTGTTAGACGGTAATTGAAGGTTTTTACAGCTTCCTTTCTAACTGGGATAGATATAATATTTTGGTCAAGAAGTAGGATTTGTAGGCTCTGTGATTTAACACAAACTTGTAATACTCAGCTTCCTGTGTTAGTAGAGCTAAACGATCTGGATCTTTCGGTAAGCAAGCTTCCCATAGCTGTTTAGTAGATTTCAAACGCAGGTAATTCAAGATTATTCCAAAACTGAAATATGTGTTACTTTTTAAGTCACAGTCACTAAATTAGAGAAAAAAATGAGAGGATTAACGATCGGTTCTCTTACTTGATTTATAGTGAATCGTTTTTGTTAACTACCTTATTATGAACTCTAACAAATTTTTGTGTTCATATAGCAGGAATAGAATTGTTGGAGTTCGTAATTTTTTACCTCGTTGGGTCTCGATCGATAAAATATGCTCCTTTGCTGTCTTTTTCTAACGGCGGTTGTGCAGTTTCTCCAGTAAACCACTAATTAAAAAATTTTATTTACATTTGATTCTTTGAAATCTTAAAACCACGACATAACAAGGTGACAAGTGGTTATTGTGAACTTAGAAAGTAAGTTGATTTACAGTCACGTCACATTACAGTTTTAGAGGACAAATGTTCGGTAATTTAAATAAAAGGAAAGAAATTTAGTGGAAATAAAACCAACCTGATTAAATAGAGACTGTTTTTCTTGCAATAGTGTGCTTGCTGTTGTGGAATACTGCCGTCCGCCAACATTAAAGTTGAGTATAACCATTTGAAGTTGAGTGATCGGAAAAAGAAAATCGCATTAGGGCATAATTGTGCTTTGCTTTAAATATTATGAAACGGTTTGGATACACACATCCCATAAATTTTCTAAGTACAGAAATCAACGATATTTTTCGGAAGGAAAATTTTGGCTAAAAAATTTTCGCCTAATGGATTCAAAATAAACTCTTATTTTGCACAAATTGTGAGCAGTACATTGTTGCCACTACTTATAAAATTGATTTCATAAAATTCTTCTAAAAAGATGGAAGAAGTGTTTCAAGTGAAAGCGTGCTGAAAAGTCTGTACATATCGAGGAATTATACAAAATGAGGCTTTTAGAAGGGTTGCTTTCTCAAAATTAAATTTCAGAATATGAAAGACGTCGAAATGTTAGGAGAGATTACTTTCACAAAGAAAGGAAACAATTAAAAAACAGCAAAAATTGAGATTCCACAAGAAATCTCTTTTCAAGACTGAAAGTGGGAATCTCTGTATACTTAGTTGTTATTAAACTGTAGAACATGGATAGAATGATATGCTTAGACCATTTCTTGTGTTAAAATAAGAAACAATTATCGTCTGCATTCTCACCGATCCAATCAAAATCAGAAAAAGTTATATGTAATTGTTTGAAAGTTAATGACAAATAGGTAGGTTCAATTTCCAGTTCAGAAATTTGCCAGAGGGAATACTTCGAGGTACGGCATAAGGTCGGAGACTAGGTCCAATTTATACGTTGTGTCTGAAGCGCCTATACTACACTTCTACATGTGTGTGATACATGCATTTGCTATGCATCTAAGAGACAAATATCGATGATCAATTCTGAGGTGCAGGATGGCTTTCTTCTTTTTCTTTCTCTCTCTCTCTCTCTCTCTCTCTCTCTCTCTCTCTCTCTCTTAAAATGATGACTTAGATCCCATGCTTGACATTTCCGTACCAGACTTAATATTTAATAGTTATAATAATAATACTGAAGCAAACATGCTTACTCACTATATTTGTTGAATTAATTTCATCGGAATTTAATTTAATCAACTATCTGATCTTTTCTTAATGATGCCATCAAGGGATTATTCAGTATCATTCAAGATTTACGTTTGAGTTTCGAACACTAAGTGCAAAACTTAGATTCGTTTGATAACTCATGGATTTTCTGCATTTTTCACGCCTTTCGTAATATTTTCTACAATACTGTGACGGATTAAGTCAATTGAATGCACAACAAGTCCATAGATTGCAGATATCTGCAATGTAAGTTTCTCGCCGATCATGTGATTTTAAAATAGATATAATTAATTAATTGTTTGCTAAAGGGAAAAGTATGACCACCAACGTTTAGTTACGTTGCACGACATGAATACCATAAGCAATTTTTCAGCAAAAGTTGCACGCATTTCCATTGTTTATTGCTTAAATTCCAGTTTATTTTTGATAAAATATAGTGTGTAAACAAAAAATTCAGTAAAAATGTCAAGAAATAAATTGAAGAAATAAATTTGAACTTTATGAATATTGCCTAATATGCTCATCACTTTTTGATCTCTGCTGTTCGCACTACTATTTCCTTTGTTGTTATCAACAATTATCGATATAGATGCAAAATTTCAAATTTAGTTTGTTTGGACTGCCTTTGCGAGAGATTCACTTCAAGCACTATTAATAAATCACTGAGACTTTCTCTGGAACAAAAATAAAAGAAATCGATAAGAGATCTAAGAAACGACATGAAATTTGGAACAAATATTTCATAATGTAAAAATAAAACTCAGCAATTTTCAATGAGTTGGAGTTTTAGTGAAATTTTCAAAAACAAAAAAAAAGCAGTAAATTACAATAGCATTCCTCTCGGTCATCTGTAAGCTTTTATCAATAATAATTTCAACAATAGATCCAAGTATGGCGTAATTTTTTGGAACTCAGTCATATTTGAAAAGAATATTCTAAGTTTTATTGGATAACTAATCCAAGCAACATACAATTCCCCTAAACTTTCTTACTCTGAAATTTACCGACTCC